CAGATAGCATAATGGCCAAGAGCATTTTAAATTGGCATGAAAACCTAATTTTAACTTTTCCTAGCTCTGTGATGTTTGTCAAGTGATGTCCAGTCTCTAATCTCAGTTCATAAGTCAGAATCCCTAAGATGGGAACCTGAGTCAGGGGTTCTTGTAATAGTGATTTTAGGAGAAATGTTTTTAGAAGAAGTGGATAAGGTGGATACATCAGTGAAAAAACTTAACCAAGGCTGTTGTGATTATTAGAGACTGCTTCTACCTGATCCCGTGGTTCAGACAATAAGAATTGCACTTCAGAGTTACTAATATTGTGAGGCAAGGAAGCTGATGTTTCATATCTCTGTTCAGTAGCCACTGAACTCAGTCACTGGGAAACTGTAACAGGGATGGACCTCGTCAACGTCCACTACACTTAATTTCATTTTGTATAAATAGGCATAATCAGTTTTTCTTAGTGGTTTGACATGAAAAGTGATAATTGCACTTTCTCAGTGAGGAGGACTTCGGTTGTAATAAAAAAAGAATTCTTGATTCTAATTTACTCAAACAATAAAGAGAGTTATGAGGTGATGTGTTAACTAACTTTCTTGTGGTAATGAATGCACAATATATATGTATGTCAAATAACCACATTAAACACCTTAAATTTATAAATTTCTTCAATTGTATCTCATCAAATGTGTAAAAGAGCAGGGTTATCTTTCATTGTGAGAGCTTCAGTGGTAAGAAATATACATGAAGTAGACAGTCAGGCTTCATTCATTCCTTCATGTGGTGCCTCAAATCTGCATTTGTTTTTTTTTTTCATGGTCCAGATGGTTGCACAGATGTAACTGTCATATCCAAACATGATCTCTGGAAACAGAAAACTGACTGTTCTGCCCTGGGACAATTGTTAATAGAATATCTGTTGTTAATAGATCATTCTATGGAGTCAATCTGTCTGTCTCATCACTAAGAGTAGAATCATCACCTTCTGAATGTAATTCCTTCGTTGGGGAAAATTATTACTATGAAAGGCTTTGAGTAACTCACCCTCCAGTATGTAATTCCTGTTAAGAATTCAACCACATACCCACTACAGACATTTGCAACAACCCCTGGAAGATAAAAATCTCATTAAATATAACTAGTATCAATATTACATGTGTTCCATATCTTGCTAATATTCATTAATCTTTTAAATTTCTTGCTCTCACTTATTTTTTTCACATTGTCTTCAACAATGAGATTTATTTACCACGTTTATAATATTTATTAGCTGCTTTTTCTGGTCTGAGAAATATTATCACATGATTTGTTATCATCTAGGAAGAGCAAAGATTGGTAATATTTTCCTTGTACTGTGTTTGCTCTGATTCCTTCTTATTGATTTATTTGTATGAATGTATTTGAGCTTTTATCTTTTTCCTTGGTCACCTCATCTTGCTGTGTTTTTCATTCATCTCTGCTGGAGTCCAAACAGAGAAGCATGGTTGTGTAAAATTAATTGAATCATTGGATTCTTAAGGGATTGGCTGCAGTCTTTAGGCTCTCCTGCAAAACTTTGTAATGCATCTCTATGAAAAAAAGAATTTTTCTTTGGAGATAGACTTTAATTTTAGAAAGAAATGTTGAGTGTGATACAGCCTGGGAGGATGAAAGCTGTCAGGATTACGGGAATCATTTTTCCAAACAGTAGAAAAAAGCAGGGCCATTAGTCAAAATCATTTCTGCGTGTTGGTGATTAACTAACTATGATGGAGAATCAAGAAATCAAGAAAGAATCCAGAAAGTGCCCAGAGAGCTTTCTGTTATGGTCATCATGGAAGGGAGAGAGAGCTAGGCATGATGTCCAGCATCGCAATTTGAGGACGGCTCCCTTATTGGTGTCATCATGTTTTGTAGTGCAGCGATTCCTGCATTGACTTCCACAGAACACTTGCAAAGATAAGTCAACTGAGGCTTTTGTACATCAGGAAATTTCTTGTACGTCACACAAGAACTACACATCTCGATCTATGCATAGACATTAAAGGATTCACGCTTTTTTTCAATTATTTTATTGAGGTCATAATGGTTTACAACATTGTGTAATTTCAGGTGTACATTATTATTTTTCAATTTCTGCATAGACTGGATCACACTCACCACCAACAGTCTAATAAGCAGTACACTCTTTGACATCTGTCTTAGAAGCATCTTTTCAACTACGATGTCTACTCAGGCAAGGGAAACAAAAGAAAAAATAAACAAATGGGGTTAAATCAGACTAAAAATCTTCTGCAAGGCATAGGAAGTCATGAACAAAATGAAAATACAACCTGCCAAGTGGGAGAAAATGTTTGCAAATCACATATTTGACAAGGGGTTAATTTCCAAAATATATAAATATCTCATAGAATTCAACAACCGAAAAACAAACCACCTGATCAAAAATAGTATAAGAAAAAAATATGGCCACCTTTCCCTTATTCCAGAAGTAAAAAATATTGACATTCTGCTATATCGGTTTCTGGTATTTTTTATAAAGTAAGAAAATAATGTGAATATACAAGACTCCTCCTTTGTATACCCCTCAATTTTTTGTTCTCCCTTTGCTAGAGACAACACCATCTAAAATGTGATGGTATACCTCTTGTATGGCTTAGATTGTATGTGTATTCATAAACATATATGGGATGAAATGCATTAACCATAATACATATCAGTTTTGGAATGGAGAAATAAATCACGATGTAATGATGTAGTGGAATAGTTGCTGCTAATTAAAATTTATGAAGCAGGACTAAGTACATCAAGATAAGTCAAAGGATAAATTACTTAAAGTTGCCAACTGTAAATGACATTTACAGTATGGTTAGGTTTATATAAAGCTTAAAAATGCTAAACAATGCAATTGTTCATAGAATAGTAATGATTACAGTAAAAGTTTCAGGGGAATAATTTATATGAAATTCATGTAGTGGTTCCTGTGGGGAAGGAAAGGAATCTAGATTCTTTTCATGATACAGGCTCTTCACATATGCCTGTATTATTAATTGCAATAAAAACACCTACAATGAAAATAGTGAAATGCATGAATTTGATAAATTTGACTGATGAGTATCAAGCTCTTCATTTTAATTTTTCTTGAATAATTAATAATGAAAATAAACATATTTATGTAGAATGAAAAATATTTAAAATTTTGTCATGCAGATGTATTTTTGTCATGCAAAATTATTTCTCCTGTAGCTTTCATTGTTTATGTCGATACATATATCTGATTGTTTTTATGATTTGACCTGTCTTAATTGCTATATATTTCATCATACGTCCATTTCAAATGAATATTTATATCATTGATGTTTTCTTCAGTTCTTCTTTTCTACATAATAAATGTTCCCAGGTGGAGTTTCAGCTCAGAAACTCTTCCCTGAAATTTGCAGTTATAATACAGGGACATTCTCAATCGTTTTTCCTCAACTTGTCCCACCCCATTGCTTTCTTCTGAGGAGGGAAACATACTAGAAGCTGTTGTTCATAGCAGACAAAAAAAAAATCACAATAAGAAATATCAATACAAGAGTCCCAAATGCTGAGCGCTGTGCTGGATGCTTTCCCTTAATTTGTTTCTCATCATTGCAAAATCTCCATAAGTTTTTATGACAGTTCCCATTATACAAATGAAGACGTCAGGTTTTATGTATAGGTGAACAGTTTTCGCTCTTCACAAAGCAAGTCCTGGTCTGGATTAAAATCAGCCTGTTTCAGTCTAAGTAATACTCCCAATGATAAAGTCTGTCATGGCCACTTCTTTTTGTCCCATGAGCAGGAGGTCCACTCCTTTACAAAGACAATGCTAATAAGAACCACGATTATTTTGTAAGTATCATATAAGTCTCTGTTATCTTGCAAGTCCCTGTCTTCCAAGGACTGAAAATTGAATTTTTATTTGTCTCTTCTCTTAGAAGATTATGCATTTCATTCTTTCTCTCATTTAGCTTTTTTTTTTTTAATAATATGCCCCCATCACCTTAAGGGAAAAAATTTCCATTGGATGAGAAAAAGAATCTCACTAGCATAGTTTTCCAGCTTATCTTAGAATCCATTACTACTGAAGATGAGAAGTGTTTCCATGGGAGAGTCTTATGAACTTCAAGTCTAGAGGTAATATTTTCTAATCTTTACTCAGGTGGAGAGCGTATACTTGGATGGGTGCTATGCTCCTGACCACAATACTTATTGGGTAGGGGTGGATAGACCTTACAGGAAAGTGAAGTGAGTTGTAGTATTGTCCACGATGAAATATTACAATTTTAGAGGGAAATTACAAAATCTGACTGACATTTTAGGATTGGTAATTCTGTCCTATCCAGAGGCATTAAAAGAAATTAGTCAAGTGAGTCAATTCAGAAGTCAGATGATCTGATCACAGACCCAGTCTTTGCCATGAACTAACCAGGTACTTCATGTCCTTGATGTAATCTCATGTTACCTAACATTTCCCATGCTTAAATGGAATGATTATCTGATGTAACCCACCTGTAAATTTTCAAGCCCTCAGGTAATTCTGAAGTATGTAAAAGTTTGTGGACCATACTTTACAAGAGAGGTTAGATAACTTCTTTCTTGTTTTTCTGTTTGTTTGATGCAAGAAACATTTCTGAAGGAAACACCATGTCTTAATCTTTGTTTCAGTCTCAGGACTTGGCACAAAGTGGGTAATACAGTTGGTTGTCAATAGATATAGGGGTCAATAAAAAAAGTAGAGTGAAAAGGAAGAGTGAGAGGGGATGATGGAAGGAGAAATTAGCAGAGGGAAAGATTTGAATATTGTCTTGGGCTCACAATATACATAAAGTTTTCTTTTTTAGCAATGGTTCTCAAACTTAACATACATCAAGTTCATCTGTAGAGGTTGTTAAAATAGACTAGTGATATTCAACCCAGAGTTTATCAGCAGAAGTCTGGAGTGCTACCACCATTATTCATTTCCAGCAAGTTCCCAGTTGACGCTTCTGCCGCTTATCCTGGGACCATTACTTTTATTTTCTTTTTACTCGATTTCTTCCCTCAGATTTGTCTACAACATGGAGCCCAAAAATCACACAGGTGCTCCAGAATTCCTTCTCCTGGGATTGACAGATAATGCAGAACTTCAGCCCCTCATCTTTAGCCTGTTCCTATTCATTTACCTGATCACCATCGTGGGAAATCTACTCATCATTCTGGCTTTCAGCTCTGACTCCAAAATCCACACTCCCATGTATTTCTTTCTCTCCAGTCTCTCCTTTACTGACATTTGTGTAAGCACAACCACGATCCCAAAGATGCTTGTGAACATACAAGCCCAGAATCAGAGCATCACTTATATAGGGTGCCTCACTCAGATTGGATTTTTCCTGGTTTTTGGTTTATTTGAGAATTTTCTCCTTGCGGTAATGGCCTATGACCGCTATGTGGCCATTTGTCACCCACTGGTCTACATGGTCATCATGAACCCTCGTCTCTGTGGCCTGCTGATTCTACTCTCTTTGCTTCTTAGCATTGTGGATGCCCTCCTCCTCAGTCTGATGACGTTACAGCTGTCCTTCTGCAAGGACCTGGAAATCCCTCACTTCTTCTGCGAACTTGCTCAGGTCCTCAAGCTTGCCTGTTCTGATACACTTATCAATAGCATTCTGATATATTTTATGGCTGTCCTATTTGGGGGTATTCCTCTCTCTGGGATCATTTTCTCTTATACTCAAATTGTCTCCTCTGTTTTGAGAATGCCATCAGTGGGTGGAAAGCTTAAAGCTTTTTCCACCTGTGGGTCTCACCTCTCAGTTGTGTCCTTGTTCTATGGGACAGCTTTTGGAGTATATATTAGTTCTGCAGTGACAAACTCTTCCAGGAAGACTACAGTGGCTTCAGTGATGTACACTGTTGTCCCTCAAATGCTGAACCCCTTCATCTACAGTCTGAGGAACAAGGATATGAAGGGAGCCTTGAGGAATTTCATCAGAAGAGGACCTTTGCTGTGATTGTGCCATCTACTTTGAACTGTGGATTATAGAATGAGTCAAAGTGACAGAAATCCTGGGTGAGGCAGAATGCCTGATTCTTCCATCTGCTATTTCTTCAAAATAAGTAGATATCATAATGGCTAAGAACCTATCAACCTCGCCTTGAATCATGACTTTGCTTTTTATCTGGTTCTGTGATGTTTAACAAGAGATTTCAATTCTCTAAACTCAGTTTATTTGCTCAGGTTCCTTAGAAGCAGAGACTGATGCAGGAATTCTAGTTTTAGTGTTGTTGTTGTGTGTGTGTGTGTGTGTATGTGTGACTTCAGTAGAAGGAAAGTTTTAGGAAGTGGATAGGGCAGGGACAGGACTGAAATATGACTGTAGGCATATCTACAGGTTAGCTTCCACCTGATCCCATGGTAGGAACATGTTAATTGCTCCCCAAAGTTAGGCTTACAGTAGGGCAAGGGATTTGACCTTTCATTTCTCAATTTAGTAATTAGTGAGATCAGTCACTGGTGAACCGTATCTTTCTGAGACAGCATTAGCATCCACCATATTAAGTTTCATTGTCTATAAAATTGGCATAATTAGATTATCTCAGTGGTATGAGATGATTGTGATAATTAAATTCAACTGTGATAAACCCTTCAGTTCTAATAAGAAAAAACAAACTCCAAGTTCAGTATGACCAAACAATAAAGAGAGTTATCTTTCATTACAGAGACTTCAGAGATAAGGAATGTACAGGAAGAGTAGAGATTCACTCATTTCTCCATGAAGAGGATTTGTCCTAGGATTGGTTCTTGTCAGGGTCACTAGGTGGTGGCAGCAAATGAAGATGTCATACTTGAATATGATACCCAGACACAGAAATCTTGCTATTCCTCTCTGGGTAAGTTGTTACTAGATGTTTCCATGGAGTGACCAGATGATGTCTCTGTAGTGAGTTCAATGTTGGCCCTCAAAACAATACATCCACACTCTAACCTTCCTAACTTGCGGGTATTAAGTTATGATAAAAGGATGATTGTACTAATTTGGAAAAGAATATTTTCAGAGGAGGAGTTTATTCCATATTATCTGGGTGGACCCTAAATGTAATCACATGTATGCTTTTAAGATAGACAGCTATGGAGAAGATACAGGGAAAAGGAGGAGGTAATGCCGCCGTGGAGTTAGAAATTGGATTGACTCAACCAGCATATGATTATTCTTGTCTTATGAGACTGTCATTAACTTAAGCCTCTGGTGCATCTCTCTATGACTCCAGTGTAGATCTATACACAATTTACTGAATAAATTTGCTTCCTTTCACTGTATTAAAGCTTAAAATTAATGAATAAATCCTTGCCTTGTTCTTCTCATCATTGTGCTTCTGAGATTCAATCATGTTGTTGCTTTTAGCAGTTATTTTCAATGCTCTGTACTTTTTTGTCCTTCCTGATTTTTGTTACATATATATATATCTCACATATATATGTATGTATTTAATGATTTAATGTATATATTTAATGATTTCTTGAGGTTATATTGGCTTATAACATTGTGTAAATGTCAAGTGTGCATTATTATTTTTCATTTTCTCTATAGACTGCACCTTGTTCACCACAAATAGTCTAGGTTTTATCCATCACCATATGTATGAGCTCCTTTATTCTTTTCGCCCTCTCCCCTCCCACTTCCCCTTTGGTAACCACCAATCTGTTCTCCTTGTATATGTGATTCTTTTTTTATCTTCCACATATGAGTGAAATAATACATATTTGTCATTTTCTATCTGACTTCTTTTGCTAAGAATAATAGCCTCAAGGTCCATTTATGTCACAAATGCTCTCCATTTTTATATTATATATGGTGACATTAAAAGTAGCAATATTTTGAATTTTTTAAAAAATATTTTAATCTTTTTGCACTTCATTGAGGTATAATTGACAGATAAAGCTGTATATTTAAACTGTACAATGTGATTATTTGCTACACATATCCATTGTGAGATGATTACCAAAATCAAATTAACACATTGATAACCTCACATAGTTACCATTTATTTTGGTTAGAACGCTTCAGATATACTCTCTTCACAAATTTCAAGTATATAATAGAGTATTATTAAGTATAGTCAATGTGCTGTAAATTAGATTGCCAGAACATAGTCATCTTATAACTGAAAGTTTGTACCCTTTGACCAATATCTCCCTATTCCCCTGACCCCCAGCACTTGGTAACAATCATTCTACTCTCTTTTTCTTTCTTTCATTTTTTTATAAGTGATTTTTCTTTTTTTCAAAGATTGGCACTTAAGCTAATGACTTTTGCCAATCTTCTTTTTTTTTTTTTCCTTCTTCTTCTCCCCAGAGTCCTCCACTACATAGTTGTATATTCTAGTTGTGAGTGCCTCTGGTCGTGCCATGTGGGATGCTGCCTCATCGTGGCCTGATGAGTGGTGCCACATCTGTACTCAGGACCTGAACCAGTGAAACCCTGGGCCACTGAAGCAATGTGCATGAACTTAACCACTTGACCACAAGGCTGGCCCCTCTACTCTCTTTTTCTCTGAGTTAGATTTTTTTTTTAAGATTCCACATATAAGTGATACCATGCAGTATTTATCTTTCTCTGTTGGGCTTGTTGCACTTAGCATAATGTCCTCCAAGTTCACTCATGTCATCAAAAATGACAGAACTTCTTTTTTTTCTGGCTAAACGATAGTATGTGACATATATGTAAGTAAATATATACACCAAATTTTATTTATCAACTCATCCATCAATTGACACTTAGGTTGTTTCTATACCTTGGCTATTCTCAATAATGCTGCAATGAACACGTGAGGTCAGATATCACTTCAAGAAACTGATTTCATTCCCTTCACATATATACCCAGAAGTGGGATACAGGAGCCTATAGCAGTTCTACTTTTTAAGTTGAGGTATAATTGACATATAACATTATATTAGTTTCAATGTGTACCACATAATGATTCAATATCTGTATATATTTTGAAATGATCACCACAATGTCTAATTAACATCTCTGACCATACATAGTTACAAATTTTTTTCTTGTGATGAGAACTCTAAGATTTACCGTCTTAGAGCTTTCAAATATTCCATGCAATATTATTAACTACAGTCACCATACTGTATATTATATACCCATGATATTTATGTTATAACTGGAAGTTCATGCCTTTTGACTCCCTTCACCCATTTCACTCACTCCCTTTTCCACCTCTGACAACCACTAACCTATTCTCTGTATCTAATGAGCTCATGTTTTTGTTTTGTTTTCCTTTTAGATTCCCCATATAAGTGATATCATACAGTATTTGTCTTTCTCTGTTTAACCTATTTCACTTAGCATAATGTCCTCAAGTTCCATGTATGTTGTTGCAAGTTGTAAGATTTTCTTCTTATTTATGGCTGAATAATATTCCATTGTATATATATATGTGTGTGTGTGCATATATATTTTTATATATCTATATCTATATCTATATCTATATATCTATATATATATCACATTTTCTTTACCCATTCACCTAGTGATGGACACTCAGGTTGTTTCCATGTCCTGGATATTGTAAATAATGCTGCAATAACATGAGAGTACTGATATATCTTAAAAATAGTGACTTTATCTCCTTCAGATATATTCCCAGAAGTGGGATGACGGATCATATGGTAGTTCTATTTTTATATTTTTGAGGAACTTCATACTGTTTTCCATACTAACGGTATCAATTTACAATTCCACCAATAGTGTGCCAGAATCCCTTTTCTCCACATCCTTGCCAACACTTATCTCTTGTATTTTTGATTACAGCCATTCTAAAGGTATGAAGCGATATCTCATTGTCATTTTGATTTGCGTTTCCTGATGATTTGTGATGTCGATCATCTTTTTATGTACGTGTTGGTGATTTGTATGTATTTGACTTATGTCTATTCAGCTCCTCTGCCAATTTTTTAATCAAATTGTTTATTTACTTTTTTTTGCTATTGAGTTGTGTGAGTTTTTAAATATTTTGGGTATTAACCTGTATTAGATACGTTGTTTGCAATATCCCATTCCATAGTAGTCTCTTCATTTTGTTAATGGTTTCTTTTACCGTGCCAAATTTTTTATGTTTGATATAGACCCACTTATTAATTTAAAATGGTGGTTCTGTTGTTGCTTGTGCTTTTGGTGTCATGATTGTTGTTAAGATCCATTTCAAGGAGCTTGCCCTCTGTTTTCTTCTAGGAGTTTTAAGGCTTCAGGTCTTATGTTTAAGTCATTAATCGATTTCGATTTGATATTTGTGAGTAGTATAAGATAGTGTCCAATTTCATTTTTATGCGTGTGATTATGCAGGTTTTCCTACACCATTTATTGAAGAGACTATCATTTCTGAATATCTTTGGCTTCCTTGTCAAGTATAAGTTGACTGTATATGTGAAGGTTTATTTCTATGCTCTTGATTCTGTTTCATTGGTCTATGTGTCTGATTTTATGCCAGTACCTCACAGTTTCCATTACTTTTTAGTAATGGAATAGTAATTTAGTAATTTTTTCCATAGCTTTTTAGTGTAGTTTGAAATAAGGAAGTCTGACAGCTCCATCAAAGGTGACCAGAAACAATTTCAGGCTTTCTGAGGAGGCTGGTCAGATCACAGAGACAGGCTGCTGAGAGGTCAACCCTTGGGAAACAGTTGGGAAAGTACGCAGTCAAGTCCTTTCTAGGGAGAAAGTGGGAGCCTTGTGTTTTTGCATCCTCCTTCTGCTCTGAGCCCAGGGCAACAGCCATGCGAAGTGCTTACCTATCCATTTAAAAACTGCCTCTCTATTTTCTGTGGTACTAGAGGACTCACAAGTGCCAAGCTATGTTGGCTCTCAGAGCTAAATGTCTTGGGAGCCAGTCCCTCAGGTTTGGCAATAATGTTGGTGCCCTAAGTGTGTGGTCCAAGCCTTTCCTTCTCAGGGATAAGCTGGGAGCTTGAGAATGCCTCCTGGTTGTAATGCACTGTACC